GGCCCCTTGCTTTGGATCATTTTCATCAACCGGCCCCCATTCCAAACTAATTGAATAGCCCTGCTGTAGATGGTCTGCAAAGGCTAAAATCCTAAACTACACTCCACCCCTGTCTGTAAAGCCTCCATTGGACTCCTTTGTTAACCTCAGTAACATACCGACATCACTATGTAACACTCCCGCTTCTTCAACACATTGTACGCAATAGGCTAAGGGTCGGGACATCTCTAAGCGGTTGACCAATCACAACAGAGTACGCCAATTAACCAATCGGAGCAGACTGGGTTGTGGTTTCAGACAGAGGGTGAAAAGAGGTGCTGCAGCACAGGCAGTATGAGAAAAAACAAACACTTTTTGAACATTAAAGCATGGAAACAGGAAAGAAACTATGAACCTGAAAATGAGCACAATAGGGCCCTTTAAGTTGCTGTATGTAGCAGATCCTGAGGTCAATGCATGTAAAGAAAGACTGGGCTGCAAAGAATTTGACTTTATTTTATATTGACCATGTTTTTTTAAGAAATCCCTGGAATTTTTACAGATGATATGTACAGAAGTTCAGCTTCAGCCATTTGTTATTCTTGCATGCATTTGAGTCATTACAAAATAAATACAAAAAGCTTATATACAAACGCTCACATTTTCTTGGCAGTGTTTAGACATGACTCAAAGTTTCACTGTTTTCTTTGGATGAGATGACAATTGTTAAATCCTAAAATAAATAAATCTGAGGGCAGGTACAGATCTAGTGCAACGAGGCAGAACACCACTTGAGTTTAACACATAACATCGAAAACCACATTTCTGAATGTCTATTATGTTTTTGTTACAGGTGTGCTGTAAAGGAAGCGTAATGAAAAAAAAAGGGCATGATCCATCACTGGCTTTCCCAAAACCAATAAACAGCATATTTTCTAACTTGCTTCGATGCATCATAAAAAAGCCTTGCCCAAACGATAGAACCGTTCTTAAAGTAAAACTCTATGTTGACAGATGATAACTGGCATGTTTAAAATGGCAATCATAATACATCACATCACATGTGCCCATATGTTCGTGAAGGGAGATATTCATCATTCCTGAAGTCCATACTGGGCCTGAAGAAATCCCCTTTTGATGAATCTCCAGTGTAAAAGATCAGGGACAATGTTCACAGTCCAGATTCTTTTTAAAGAAACAAAACCTAAAGTTCAAGTTAAACTGTTTTAAGATTAAACAATGTAAACATATCCTTGAAAAAAAATCTTGGTTATCACTGCTAAACATACAATTTCGATTTCAGTTTTAAAATCATAATAAAAGCCTTCAACAACTCCTGCTCGTTGCTACTAGAGCATCACTAAATATCTGTCTACAGTGTTGACAGTGCCATGGTCATGCTTTTGCCATGGTTATGCTTTTGCCATGGTTATGCTTATGCCATGGTCATATTTTTGCTCAAACACTGAAGGCTGCGATGAAATGATACCTTCATGATTTGGCACTTAGATAAAGCAATGAGAGATCAGCATGCGGTAGTGTATGCAGGTAAAAAAAACAAGAGTAAGGCATCATTGGGAGATTTAAAAACAGAGTTACAGAAGTCACAGTTGTTTGGCTGACAGGTAAATACATCCTCTCACCTTTTAGGTTGTAAGGTAACAACGACCTGAAGGAAACTGTTGTAGAAGAGAAGCAAACAAACTTGCACCATATTCATTTGAAAACATGTAGGGAGATGTACCGGGCCCAGGCATGCAGTGCATGATACCCTGGATATAACAAAGGAAAACCAGACAGATGGTGAGTCATGTGGAGCTCTTTCCCCAGTGTCCTCCTAGCTTTGAATTGCCATCAATAAAAAGACAAAGGAATCTCAAAGTTTGAATGCAACCCATTATTATTTCCAAGTGGTGAAGTCGCCACATCTTGTGGAAAAAGTGTTGAATTACAGTAAGCTGTTTTTGTTTTCTACAGTAAACAAACGTTTCTTTCCACAGGCGAGTGACTTTCAAGGTAATGCAATTTACACGTATGCATATTTATTAATCCTACACCACTTTACCACACATGATTAAACCAATACAACTCACCTCTCTGTGGTTTGTCTTTGAGCCCCTTATGTGTCTTGATTCATTCGGTGCCAGTATCTTGAAAATGCAAACTCAATCCCAAAGTCATTTATTTTCACCTAACTCCAAAATGCAAAGAAACTGTGAGTCATTTAAAAAAAGCATTTGAATATTTATAGTAACATATAGCACAGCAATACAAACCTACAGTAAAAAATGGCCAGATATTGTTGGCTAAAGTATATTTGACACATCAGTTTTGTTCCTTCATTGCCTCTGAACCTGGAAGTCAAGACATAGAGTTTGTGAGTATGCTACCTTCAGTAATAATAATACCTTCGTTGTCCTTACTTGTTGAGAAATTACCAACCAGCTTCTGTGATGCTAACGAAGCGCTACACTTTCTTAGTTTACATTTCAGATTATGCTTGTGTTTCGTTATACTGTAAGTGCTAAATATGGGCTATACGTTATGTAGACGCTTATGAAGATGCAGCACGCTGTTGCACACTTTATGAACATGTGTCCATGTTTTTAAATTGTAATGATACATATAAAGTGAGCATTAAAGACAACCTCTACTGTACACTGCTGCAGCCTGAAGGAGTGTAATGGACCAGGGTATTATTCACTGATAGTCGATAGTATTCTGCAGAAGAAAAGGACGTGACATGAGACTCGTGCAAACTTCACACTTGGCTGTGAGCCCTGCATTGTTTGGTATCTATCTTGCATTACTTCCTTGGAAAATGAAATCTTAAAATCTTTCATTACAGGCAAGTACTGTAGCAGGCTGAGGTTCTCAGGAACAGCATTCAACGTGTAACCCGCCCATGGTTACAGCTAACACTATGAAAATAAGCTGAAAAACATGCCCTAAAATAACCTCAGGTACTCCTTATCAGAGTTTGTTTGTCTATGAACAGTAGACCATTCTGTTATTTGACATTGAACTCAAAAGTAGAACATCTCTTTCTGTTGCACAACATCTAAAACATCCTGTGGAAAAAGGAGAAGAGAGAAATACAGGGAGAGAAAGGTGTAATCCAGGTACTTATAGTGTAATTAGAGTGCAGCAAGCCAATAAACGCCCCTCCTTTAAGGCACAATATGTCATGTTTTTAGGTGTTACAATTTGTTGAATTTGATGGCATTTGTGGACTTTCAAAATGTTGTCCCATATGTTTCAGCAAGACAGACAATAACCTCATAGTACTTTATGGCACTTTTTGCATCATGATTAGCTTTGTCTTCACTACACATAAAAGCTCTGCTCTGCTTCTTGTGTTGTTAACATGGGCTTCAGTAGCTGAACTAGCAAGTCTTTAATCAAAGCCAGAGGTCATTGAACATGTCACATCAACGTGTCACTGATAAATCTCCACGTTATGGAGTCTTTCAATTCTCAAATAGTCACTCTATATGTCAAATAAACCATTAAAGCACATAAATAAAAACCTTTTGGCCGTTATCATTGACAGAACAGTATAATGAAGTCCTGGTGAAAGTTGAAGTTGACTCCTGATACTTATATTTATTGATTAATAAATCTTGACTTTAAAGGTAGGGTAGGTAAGTTTGAGAAACCGGCTCGAGATCGCTAGAATTTGAAAATACACAACCGGAGAAAATCTGCCACTTCCTTATAGAGCCCCTCCTCCAACACACACACAGCCGGGCCGGCTAAAATGATTGGTCGTACTTTTTACAGTATTACGGCTTCCACAGATGACATTTTTTTATGGATTTTTTGTCAAAGCACTTAAGATATTCATTGCTATCGGGATGTTAAGAGCATTCCATGGAATATAACAAAAAGTGTATCTCGAGCCGGTTTCTCAAACTTACCTACCCCACCTTTAATTTCCACTATTATTGTTCAGCATTTTGGAGACCTAATTTAAAAAGGTGACCTGCTGCTGCCTGGACTAAGTTCAGAAACCTTCTCAAAGTTAACAAGTTTATCACAAAAAAACGAAACATTTGAGATCTAAATGTGCAGCTGCATCACACTGGTAACAAGGGGTAGGAGGCAAAAAACAACAACATATAAATATAAAACAAAAGAATAAATACATAAATAATAGAATTTCCCTGAAATAATGAGTTGTAAAAGAAAGCACAAACAGCAGGGGGGCCTGGCAGTAAGATACAAGCGCGCCATGTGTGGGAAGGTTTGCGTGGACTGATTTGTGTCGACTAAACTGCACAAAACTGGCAATGATATTTGGCAATGACTGGAAAGAAAGTATAAAAGCTTTAGAAAAGTCGGATGACAGAATATTTATCAGAAACCTTGCACGAACAATACAAAAAATGCTATAAAACAGGACCATTGTGCTTTTGGCTACAACCAGCACATGTTCTCACAGTGGTCAAATGTCATAGCATGCAGCTTTGTATTTTTTGTAAAGTAGTTCAAATCATTTATAACAGGAAACACCCAGAAAGTCAAATGACTAACCTAAACTAACGCCTTGCCTCTCCCTCAAGAAAGCACTAGAGTCAGGATTTCGGAGCAGATACAGAAGTGAGATTATGTAAAACAAAATTACAAAAGGTCAGATCTCTTTAGTGAAAGAGTGAGTCACATGTCTGTCATCTCCTCACCGCCAATATCTCACACACCAGCATTGAAATGTTCTCAGTACTGGCCCTTGCAGGTTCAATAAGCACGGAGCATGTTGAGAGGTAAATACATGTCTTCATCAAAACATTGGATCTTTTCTGTCTCTCCTCGGGGAGTCCAAGCAGCGCAGGAACACACATTGAGCCCCAGCAACTAGGAACAGTATACAAGTGGAAATCTGATGGACAGGAAGTAGGGTGGCAGCTGACATCATATAAAAAGACAGAGGAAGTTCCCCTCCTGTCTCCTGGTTCAGTCAGGCAGAAGCAGACCCCTGCTGGGTCCTCCCCCCGGGGGGCGCTCTGCTCCCTGGTGGTGGTGGGGGGGGTGGTGGGGGGGTCGACTGGAGGGCTGCGGGTTGTACGCAGCATTCGGGCTCGTGTCAAACAGCTGACAGGGGGGTGGGTCTTAATGGAGGCAGATCCAGCAGAGCCTGGATCGTCATGCCGACCTTCACCAGGCCGCGCTCCTCCAGGATGTGATGGGGGAGGCACAGCTTGTCCTGAGTCGAGACACATCAGTTACACTTTATCTTAGCAGATGATTTATAGTTTAATTTGCTGAGGTTTGGAGATTTTCATCTTCTATTTTCATCATAAATTCTCTGACTGTGAAATGTTTAATTAAATGAACCTGTAATCGAAACTGTTGCTTGTTTTCCTTGGGCAAACCTTGGAATCTTTGTGGCTGACTAAATCATGTCTGAGAGTTGTTAGTAACAGCACATTGCCTAATTCTCTATAAAACTGATATTTGTATATTATATTTAGAACATTCACCGCTGGAAATGTGTACCTCTGTAAACTTGTAAATGAGTGCATTTAATTAAACTATTGCTTTTTTTATGCTGAAATAACCGTTTTTTCTACTGCTTTAATTTGTTTGTAAAAGCAACCTTGCAAAAGTTGCAGTATTTAAATAAAATGTAAATAAAGATGATTCTATTCTGTATAATAACTTTGTAAAGGATCAGTTCACTCACAGCAAACAAAATACACAATTTCTTTAAGTAAGTAGTAATGAAATATGTAAATAGTATTACCTGTGTGACACCCAGCTTCTTACAGGCATCCAAGAAGTTCTCCACATTCCTACGGCATTTAGCCATGCTAAGCTTTGGCTGGAGGCCGGAATATCAATCATGTTAGAAAATATAATCAGGACACACAACACTTTTCATAAAGCGGTGGGGTTTTATAGGTCAACAACAATGCTTATAATTACTCCCAACTCTTAAAGGGACCCTATTATGCTCATTGACTCATTCACAAAAAAAAATACTTAGTTCCCACTTGACAGTTAACGGAAAGAAACAAAACAACACATGTACAAGGAAAAGTGCAACATCCTCATCTGAGTTCTACTTCAGTAGGACTCAGATGAGGATGTTGCAATACTGTAATGATTGGCTGTGAATAACAAAATATGAAAGACAGACCATCGATTTCTATTTTTTTTCGTTTTTTTGAGAAAGGGGCAGGTAATATAAGATTACTTTCTTCTCCCTGCTCCTTTTCGGGTATGGTGTGTTTATAGAGACATGTTTTGTAAGTAATTGTTATACATTAAGTTGTGCATACCATGAACGGAACAAATAAAAATGAAATGAAATATTTGTATTGTGTGCCTCTACTGTGACATGTCTCCATGCTTTAATGTTCAGAAAGGTCTTTATTTTTCTCATCTGCCTCTTTTCACCCTCTGTCTGAAACCAGAGCCCAGTCTGCTCTGATTGGTTAGCTGGCTGGCTCTGTTGTGATTGGTCAACCACTAAGAAATGTCCAGCCCCTTAATCACGTACAGTGTTGGATTGCCAGCCGATCGAAGCGCGACTGTTATATAGCGATGCCATGTTATTGAAGTCAACAAAGGATTCCAATGGAGGCGTTTCAGGCACGATTTTAGCCTTTGAAAATATATAACACTCTACAGGAAAGAGAACACCTCAAGAAGCATAATAAGGCCCCTTTAATTATGTCAAGTGAGAGAGCTTGTTTGTTATTACAAAGTTGCATTTGTAGCAAGAAAAAGAAAAGGAGTTTCAGTGTGCTTACCACAGCGGGAGACGGCACATGGATGCTGGCGACTGACCGAGGACAGATGTGATTGGCTAGATGGCAGAGGACCACCCCGTCCATCAGAGCGGCTCCAACATCCTCTGGGAGCAACACCTTCAGTCTGGTCTCAATGTTCTGCAAACACATCCACAATGACCTCATCACATCACTATTTATATACACATGTTCACTCACATGTTTTCAGACACCTCTCTGTTCTTTATTTACTAGCTTTATAAAAGGACCAGCTGATGTGCTTAGGAGTGTCCTGACCTGCACTGCACTATCTGAGTTAGTCATCTTTAGGCAAGTTGACAAATATATTCACCACTGCAAATACTGTGAGAAATATGTGTTTATGTTAACTTGGTAGTAGATGAGTGGTCCCAGCACATGGCCTACTGTATAACTGCAACGTCCCAACTTTAAGTCTGGACTTTTGTTGCATGTCTTATATATATACAAATAGAAAGTCATTTTCCAGTTCTAGTGTTGTGTTGTTATGTTGATAAATAAGAGTTCTTATAAAGCACATGTGTCAAACTCAAGGCCCGGGGGCCAAATCAGGCCCTTGGTGGATTTAATTTCGGCCCGCAGGATAATTTCTAATTACTATTAGATCTGGCCCGCCGGTATATTGCACGCACACCTTCACTCAATCCTGAGGATCTCCTCAGCTCAGAGCCTGACCCCAAACATTGATGAACTTGCACCTAAAATGAGATGCCAAGTATCTGGCTTGAACTAGCATCACAGAGCAGCACACTGAGTTTACATGGATGTTTCCTTCTGCACTTTTTTTCTTGCGACAACAGGGCATGTTTGGTTTTTTCTTTGAGGGAAATTGTTTTTTTGAAGCTGTTGTTGGCCTGTGGAAAAATGTGTTGAAATAATAAATATTTGGAACCGTTAACATGCAGAAAGCCTCTTTGTGTTTGTGCATGAGGGTAGAACAGGTCTGACAGATAGTGGGCAGAGTCCAATGAGTGTTTGTCACCATGATGGAGTCAGTGGGGAGCAGGGAACACATGATGCTGTTTAGCCTCATTTTGTATCGACAATAGTGATGAATATATTACTGATTATCACAATTAATTCAAAGCAGTTGAAGAATTTGTTGTAAATGATTTTTGAAGGAATTTTGACGGACAAAGAGTTGTTCTGCTCTTTACAAATGTGAAATCTGGTCTGTGACTGCTGCTTCTTTTCTGAAAGCAGTTCCCCTTCTGACCTTTTTCCTGGGAATAGAAAGCTGTGTAATCTCTCACCAGCAACAACAATGATTTTATTGAGATAGAAAGTTCATCCATGTAAGAGTCAAGACTTGACTTCATGGTCGATGTCAAGGGTCAAGACTTGTCAGCCAACATGGACAAGAAGACCTTGAGATTTTTTTAAATAATGGGAAAATGACTGGGGATTACTAGCATAATTACAATAGGCGCGTTCACACCGCAGTACTTTTCCCACTTTAGTTCATGAGAACTTAGTTCATGAGAACTCTTTAGTTCTCATGAACTAAGTTCAGATCGCGTTCACACTGGAATAAGTTCCTGAGGGAGGATTAGGCAAATGAAGCCGCTGACGTCACTTCTTCTTCTTCTGCTTTGGGTTTACTGGCAGGCCGCAAACAACTTCACGGCGTATACTGCCACCCGAAGTCCCCGTCCGGAAGTCCCCGGAGTTGGGGACTGGCTTCAGTAGAAGCTGCTGGGACTCCCAGCAGCTTCTACTGAAGCCTTCCGAGTAAATCGCCAGAACGCCGACACCTCCTCATCACTCCACCGCTCCCATGTTTTATTTTGTGTTGCCATAAGTTAGTCTCTCTTGTGCGCTGGGCTAATGCTAATGCTTATAATGCTAATGCGAGGATAATAAAATGGCGGCTTCACAAAACTTCACATACCTGCTCTCTAGCAGGGACTGAAAAGGGGGTAAAAAAGGTTCTGATGAACTAATTTTAGTTCCGGCTCTTTTTGGTGTGAACGCGACATTTCGGAACTATATCGGAACTGAAGTGGGAAAAGTACTGCGGTGTGAACGCGAATAATGTTACTAAAAACTCAAAAAGAGTCCGATTTATGTCTCCTTTTATCTGTAAGCTGTTCTGTTCGGTAGGCTAATACTTTAAGTGTGAATCTATACGCCTACTGTTTGAGCTTGCTTTATGGTTTTCACTTTCTTAGGTTCATTTGTTATTTTTGTAATTAGGGTTATCAGTAGGTGAACCCATGTGTTCATAAAATAGTGTATGTGAGTTTAACTGTATATTAAACTAAAACAGAGCATTTTCTGTCAGCTCAGAATCAGCTTTTTTAAACTGTAGTATGTGCTCATGTGTTTCATCGTTGGTGTATAGGCTACGGCCTGAATATGCTTACTGAAAGACAGGTTTTCCTATTGTTGGACAAATACTGTTTTCTCCACTCTTTGGGTTGTTTTAATGCACTGATATCATGTGTGGCTCTGAGATGTGTACGGCCTTGCAGCTGCCTCTTTATGATAACAGAAGGCAGAGCATTTCAGGTTGTTGTTCTATTCTGAGGAGACAGGCACATATTTGTTGTCTCCTATATTATCTCACATTGCTGGGAGTCCAGAAGTCGCAGATGACCCATCCAGTTGACCCATCCAGTTGTCCCATCTTCCCGACACCTCGTTTTGCGGCTTTGCTTTCCGTGTTTTGGACTATATAAGCCTGATGTTTTTTGCTGCTCCTTTGAGCAACATACCCCATGTGTGGGAGTTAAACCATATCCTTTGTATGTGATTTAACTCTGCTCCTTCTTGCAAGAATAAATTAGTACCTGATCATTGATTCTCAACCTGGTGTCGAGTGATATTTTTCTAACATCTATAAATAGAATCTCTGAACAGAGGACACTTTTTTTGATACTAAATATCTTGTTTTTGTCTTCTTCTAAGGTCACATTGTTCTGTTGTGTTAGTAAAAAAACATCTTGTTGATATTTCTTTCCTTTTGTCTTTATTTGCATTGCATTTGATAACAAGGCAACACAAAAGTAACGGAAAGTAATCCGGTTAAATTACTTTTATATTTTGGTACTCAGATTATATTACTTTTTTGTTTACAGGCAACTAGTAATTGACAAGGATTACATTTTTAAAAGTAACCCTCCCAATCTTGGTTATCTTATACATGGCATACTCGATCTCTCTGCCTAATTAACAAAGCGCCTGAAAGCATTATCTGATATCTTTCGCTAAATCACATCACATGTTCTTGTTACTCCCCACAATTTGGGTTACCTTGATCTTATTCTCAGGCCCCGCTCACACGGGACCGTTTGCGTTTATGCACAGTATGCATATTCAAAAAAGTCTTCCGTTCACATGCATTTGTTTCATTTAACGTGTCTGTTCAAACGAGGCCGCTGGAAACGCTGTAATACATATGCTGGGACTGTAAGTGGCGCTGTAACTTCCGCCAAAATACACCAAAAGCTGCGAAGAAGAGCAACCGAGCAGCCCCGCTGCAATGTTGCCATGGCTACCCTTCTGTTTAAGCCCCGAAACTGAAACTGAAACTGAAAGAAACTGAAAGAAACCGAATCTGTGGATATTGCATCGACCGACCAAGAAGCACGTCTCCGTGGAGAGGACCCGCTCAGAAAGAGAGATATTCTCTACAAACACCGGGTGAGATCCTCCTTTGTCAATATAATGGATCAATGCATGAAATCTGACTCTGTTTATTTTGTTTAAGGAGTATATTGGGCGTTAACAATTCTGGTTTGCCTTTTATAATATTATTTCATTCAAGAACCCCTTGTGCGTTTAATTAACACAGCTATTTTTGATAGTTGCTACAGCAGTGAGCAGGAGAGGTGGGGAGAGGTGGGGCTATCGTTATTTTTTCAGGAAATATTCGTATAGAGGTGATTACACGGACTCGGTTGACCCCCCAGAGCGTTTCGTTTGCAAATCTATCCACCTTGGGACCCGTTATTGTTTGTGGGGTCAGTTTCTATCGGCCTCGTGTAAATAATAGGGCTATACGCACGCGAAACTATGCAGATACAAGCAGTTTTCTCCTCGTGTAAACGGCGCCTCAAGCTACTAACCTTTGGTTTCATGCCCAGGCTACAGAATTCTCACATACTTAGGTGTGTCTGACAGTCTCTGACTTGCTGCTGCTCTCAACTCTGTTTTTTCTCTTGGTGCAATTAAGTTTAGGATGTCAGTTTGCCTTCACTTTTCTTGTTATGCTGTGGACATACCTGGTATTTCACTTCTACTACTATCTATTCAATCTGTATTTAGGCCCAATTCAATGTAATGGACCAGGGTATTATTAACTGATAGTCGATAGTATTCTGCAGAAGAAAAGGACGTGACATGAGACTCGTGCAAACTTCACACTTGGCATAATGAACTGTGAGCCCTGCATTGTTTGATATCTATCTTGCATTTCTTCCTTGGAAAATGAAATCTTAAAATCTGTCATTACAGGCAAGTACTGTAGAAGGCTGAGGTTCTCACGAACAGCATTCAACGTGTAACCCGCCGTGGGACATGCAGCTGACACTATGAAAATAAGCTGAAAAACTAAGCTAAAACCTAAGGGAACCTCGGGTACTCCTTATCAGAGTTTGTTTGTCCATGATCAGTAGACCATTCTGTTATTTAACATTGAGTTAGGATGTGAGCAGGAAACCGATGGACTGTCCACTCCAAGTAGGGAATGAGTCCTTACCCCAAGTGAAGGAGTTCAAGTATCTCGGGGTCTTGTTCTCAAGTGAGGGAACAATGGAGCGTGAGATGGGCCGGAGAATCGGAGCAGCGGGAGCGGTACTGCAGTCGCTTTACCGCACCGTTGTGACGAAAAGAGAGCTGAGCCAGAAGGCAAAGCTCTCTGTCTACCGGGCCATTTTCCTTCCTACCCTCACCTATGGTCATGAAGGATGGGTCATGACCGAAAGAACGAGATTGCGGATACAAGCGGCCGAGATGGGTTTTCTCCACAGGGTGGCTGGCGTCTCCCTTAGGGATAAGGTGAGAAGTTCAGTCATCCGGGAGGGACTCGGAGTTGAACCACTCCTCCTTCGCGTCGAAAGGAACCAGTTGAGGTGGTTCGGGCACCTAGTAAGGATGCCACCTGGGCGCCTCCCTAGGGAGGTGTTCCAGGCACGTCCAGCTGGGAGGAAACCGAGGGGTAGACCTAGGACCAGGTGGAGGGATTATATCTCTTCGCTGGCCTGGGAGCGCCTTGGGATCCCCCAGTCAGAGCTGGTTGATGTGGCCAGGGAAAGGAACGTTTGGGGCTCTCTGCTGGAACTGCTACCTCCGCGACCCGAGCACGGATAAGCGGGAGAAGATGGATGGATGGATGGAACATTGAGTTAACAAATAGTTCCTTGCAAAGATTTAGCGGTAAACTGCGCAAATTAAGAGAGATTTCATATTAGGTTACATTGTTTTTTATTTGTTTACTAAGGATAATATAGCAGTGTCTAGTCTAGAAAACGGTATGTTCCTTTGATTGTAGTTTTGGTTATTTAGAGGGACTGTTGCAAAAACCAAGCAGATCATAAACAGCAGATTTAAAAGTTTTTTGGAGTTTTATTGTCCAAGTGCTGCTGATTTGAAATTTTTCTTACGAAAACGTACAAAAGTTCCTATTTCTGTCAGAGAGAGTGGAGTTCTGTATTTACACCCTCCACCTGAAAGAAGGAGCCTCGTTTAGCTGTGAGTTTGACAACAAAAGGAGTTCGATGCGTGATGGAGTTGGAGTGGATAAGGGTCGGTTTGGAATTGGGCCTTACAGTTATTAAATCCAGGGGAAAAAGATGATACCATCAATGAAGAGGGTGTTGGAGCTATATATCTCTTTATATTATTTAATAGTTTAACATTTATTTTCTTGCTGTTTATAGTGTTTATTGTAAATGTATTCTTAGTTAGTCTCATAAGTTAAAGTAGTTTCTATGCTTTTATTTTGAAGGCATGTTTGGGCACTGGGTGATTAGAGCACCTGGTGTAATTGTATATATTGGAGACAGGTGGGAGCACTAGTAGGCAAACGCTTTTTTTTACCAGGGTGTTTCAAGCCACACAAAGGAAAGCCATAGGAAAGGCTTCAGGAAAAGAGATATAGGAAACCTGTTCATTGTACTTTGTTATTGGAATAAACTGCACAAATGGAGGTTCTTGTCTGGACTTGGATGATCATTGCCCTGCGTAAGATCCGCTAACTAGTGCCTCAGCGGCTGTTTTAGTTCTATAGGATTTTGGCCGCTACAGAGGGTGTTACTCATTAACAGGCCTTTAAGAATGTGCTCACAGTGAATAAACCCCCATTCGGATTTATTTTGTCAACGTTAATCATGCAGTTTTGTGACTGCCCTGTTGTCTAGAGAAAATCAGATGAGTCATTGATTGGACTGATACACAATGCAGTGTGACTCATTTTCGTAGAAACTGAGTGGACGCACACACAAGTTATAAACACTGGAAAAAAAGCAGGATCTGGCAGGCTTCTTCTTCAGCACAGTGACTCAACGCTTTGTGCAAAGATATAAACAAGCTGTGAAGCTCCTGACCTGTCGCAGGATTCCTATCTGCTCGATTTCCTCCCTCAAGTGCTCCATCTTCCTCCTCATGGTGAAGCTGGGGTCTGTGGAGGCGTACTCCTGGCGGCTTCCTTTGGCGAATGCTGAAATAATAAATGGAGTCTTCTGAGTTCCAGATCATTTATAGCGAGAAACAAAGAAGACGTTTTTATAGTAGATCAGCAACCATTGAAGCGGCTCCTCAATTCTCGACTTTCATTGGACAAAGAGCCAAAGCCCTTTAAGGGAAGATATTCAAGCGGTAAATCTTGATATTATCTGTGTTTTAGACGCCACGGTAACCAAGTGTAGAAAATGTCAATCACTGCATCTTACCGCCGATGGTTTTTCTAGAAATTAATATGATTATTATCTTTTGTCCTCATAATATAACAACAAAGTACAGGCCAGTACATTTCCTAAACACATTTTCTTCCCCTAAAATGTTTTGTTTGAATTTAATCCCCCACAAATCCTTTCACTTCAATGGTTCCCTTATTTCTGGAAATGAAGCTTCTTACAACATATAATACGGTTGTTTTCCAAAAATCTTCTTTTGAATGTGTGACAATATTCAAAGAGTTGTTTTCTGCTCTTATTTTAAAACTAATTCACACTTTAATTTGACTTAATCAGACTTTCATACAACCGTCATCTCCCTGAATATTTGACATCTACTGTATATCTGTGTTTAAAAAAAAATTAGATAAAGGGTTCCATTGATTATGTTTCTTGTTTAGTTAGAATGACATCTTCCTCACAGTCCCAATGGGAAGCAAAAAAAAGAACAAACCTTCTGTACAAATGCAGTGACTTTTACTTTACTATATTATAGCTTTATCAAGGCAATATGTAGGGAGTAATAACGTACATTTTAAACATGACAAACATTTGCACGGCTCGACTTCTCCAAGGGAGGGTCGTTGACCTCTTTATCCTTAATTAAAAAATAATAAATTAGATGTTAGACTGTGGACACAGAAGTAATTATATAAGGTGTACATTTGATCCTTGGGGATTTAAATTCTTGAAAACAACTAGTTGCAACCTTATATAAAAGTTAAAAAAAATAATTGCACTTTAGCCAACTCAACTTAAATAAAATGCTGATTTAATGCATACCTAGTAATGATTAAATACAATGTTGCTACTTTGTACTTCTACTACACTACAATCCAGAGGAGATTAGTGTACTTTTACTGCACTATGTTTGTCAAACACCTTTAGTTACTTTGCAGATTTGTATAAGTGATGTGAAATATAAACACTTCACACTTAAATGAGACTTTAGTTAATCTTGCAGCATACAAAGTCATATAATTAGCTGCACTTCTACCAGCTTTGATAACACATCAATAATGACATATCAAAACATATCATATATATATGATTCTGGAATGGGGCAATCTGCATAATGAGTACTTTTACTTTTGGTACTTTAAGTATATTTTGATGCTAATACTTTTACTCAAGTGACATTTTGATTGCAACTTGTAACAGAGTATTCCTACACTTTGGTAGTTCTACTAAGTACCAGGTCTGAGTATTTCTTCCACCTCTGCATACTTTAATAAACATGCAGGACTTTTTAAATTGTAGCAGAGTATTTCTACAGTGTGCTACTTTAAATGAAATGTCCTTCACCACCACTGGGGTTTTGACAGATAGCTATGAATCAATTCCAGTCTTTCCAAATAAAACAACACGCTGACATTGACAAATGACAACCGTGCTGCGCCTTGTCTTTGACAGAGCTCTGATAGGAAACAGATCAACAGTTCCTCAGAATCCTTCCCCATTTCTAGAGAAAGGACTCCACCTAAACAGAATCCCTCTTGGCTTCAGAAAGGAGCCTTTGTTTTATATGAAGCACTGCCTCAGCTTTTAAGTCTTTGCAAACGTAATATAGACTCATTAAGCTTATCCCATTGTGTTGCAGGTAATCAATGTAAAACTCATGTTTCTACTTGTTGAAATAGCAAATGCACAGGGTAGACAATTATCCTTTTCTCCCATTTCTTTAATATGATTTACCATTTTTACTTGAGCATCTGGATTCATCAAGTTATAAGGGTTTACATCATTCTTAGTATGATTTTATTTTCAGACCTCTATTCAGAAGAGGTCATCAAATAAGCATAGACTGTTGGCTGTTCATTTTCTAACAATCAAGCGGAGGTGATATTGAAAAATGTCCACTGCACATATCAAAGAGGTTATCTCTGTGAGCCCATGTTCCATGCATATCCCTGCAGTGGAAAGGAAAAACACTGCGTCTAAGAGTTAACTCGGTTATGCTACAAGCCATTGTGTTTTACCTGATCTGGGCTTCAGTCCAAACACTGTTAGAGTGGTGCTGAAATCTGCGTTGCGCAAACCCTCCTGGAAACAAATCATTTATGAAAATCAGAAAAGGGTATTTTCTTAGAACTGAACATTGATGACAAAACATTTCGCATGTTTTCTTCAAGGTGTTTCTCACACTTACCTCACACTCATCGTTGCCGTTGGAGTTTTTACGAGCTGTCTGACACTTGTACTGTCAGGAAAGAAAACACGAAATGTGCTTAGATGATTAGATGATTTAAAATAAGACAATCGTTCAGTAAATGTCATCTTAAATCAAAGTCAGTGAACCATCAAACTAAAGAAACATTTGAAATGATCCCAAAACGTTCTGCATGGCTAGACACCAGGTACTGTATGTAATAAATCATCAAGGAGTTTCCTCAGGCAACTAAAGAGGGCTTGTTCTGCAGAAAGCTGCTATCACGGGAGACGTGTGTTCACGCTCACACCTTCAGATAATCTTTTCTCAGGTACTTGTTCCTCCTGCGCTCCTCATTCTGATTGAGGACCGGTGGGACGTCGGGCCACTTTGGATCTGAATCTGACGAATCGGTCTTCAGGCTGCCATCAAAGGAGCAGGAGGAAGACGGCTGCAAAATGAGGCGGATTACATTCAAATCATTTTCTCTGCATCCTCCAGAGAGAACACATCACATGACAAATGGGAGACGTAATAAACAAAGACACAGAACTTGTTTTTTGTTTGATATGTTTGCTTTAAAGTAAGAAGAGTGTGTACCTGTCCACTCAGCACTGAGGCTCCACTGCTCCCTTCATCCAGAGAGGCACTGGAATAAAGACACGTGGAGCATAGATAGATGACTCTATCTGTGTTTTACATTAGAATTACATTAAAAGGCGATATGAGCCTAAATAAATCCTTCTGGTTACTCTGTCTGAAATTTGGATTTGCAAGTGCTTGCTCACTACCTGCCATCATGTGTGATTAGATTTATAAGGTTTATTAGAGACATTTCCTTTTTTTTAATTTCATGGACGTATAAGCATAAGTGCCTTGAAAAGCAATACCCTAGTGTTTTTATTCAAATAACCTGCTTACAACATAACTTCATGGATGTTGTATGATTATTATAAGAGCATGATGTCCTTTATAGTCTAAGTAGCCCATTTGGTAGTTGCTAGTTTGGTATTTGGCCATAACATTAAGATGTAATGCAGCTTAATTTCATATAAAATGTACACTAACTTCAATCTGTATATTAATATTGTATATTAAATAGACACTCTACAGGCAAGGCCACCTTAATGCACGGGCTGACCTGGGCTGAAGCCCAGGGGCCTACGGAGATCGGGGGCCTATCATGAGCCAATAAAAAAATGCATTGTTTTGTAATTCGTCAAATGTTCTGTCCATCATTTGATCTGAATGTATGTGGCCAGGCTGGCGATTGATACAAGTTATAAGACACCCTCGTGGGCACCACTTAACAGCCAATCAGAATGAGAATATGTTTCACATGTGACTTATTCAAAATGCGAGTGATTGAGTGACAGATGAAGGTTGTTTAGGTGAAAATGTCGGAGAAGAAAAAGTGGTGCTCGGAAAAGGAAATTGTTGAGGGAAAAGGAGTTTCGAGACAAGCAACTATTACAAAAAATGCCGAAGCTTACAGGTTTAAAATAACCTGTAAGCTTCGGCATTTTTTGTAATATGAGGAGGAAGGACAGATGACTTCTGTACCGAGCGGCAGCGGTGCCGGCCGCGGCGCCTCGGAGCCAAGTAGGCATATGTCTGGTTCTGATAGCGATGGAGTAGCGGGAGAGGAAAAACAGACAGGAGGGACTTTTGTTTTGCCAATGTTGAACTTTACAGTCGGCTCCCAGACCGTAGTCGAGGAAACAGGGAGATGACCCTCTGTTGTCTCCCAGGGCAGAAGCAACAAGCTTCAGGTTCAATAACCCACTTATTACCAATTTTAAATGGAAATATCAAAGACAGAAATATAACTTTAGTCCCATATGGTTATCAACCTGCTCTCCTCAAGTCTTTTTTCCTTTTTATTCATGGTGCTGAATTAGGGGTGTGTGTGTGTGTGCGATCTATTCACAGAGCCTGCTGAGGCTATAAATTACTTTGATTTGTTGTTTAAATAGGGGGCCTACAAAACCCATCCTGATGGCAGGTTAAGGCGGTGATACGTACACTGTTACGTACACAGTTTTGTTTATTTTCTACTGTTGATCTATACATTTACTTTTATGTTTATTTTGTATTTAATTTAATTTTGTATTCATGTGCAATGCCTTGTCTACATGCTGCTGTGACGAAATAATTTACCAGTCTGGAATCAATAAAAGTTGATCTAATCCTAATCTAATCTACTCTCTAACAGCCAAGATAAAACATTATACCAATTAAAGCAAAAATGATTACTAGGTTTCTGTTCATTGTTACAACTGTAAAAACCTGTGGTAGAGTACTTACCTCCGAGGCTGGGGGGGGGGGCCGCGGCTTATTGCCTGAGCTTCCAGAGTGACTCAGAAATCTGCAGACACAAACAAAAGTGTGTGTTGGTACAACGCTGCCCATCAACAAGTCGCATGAGTCAGCGACTACAGCGCTGACTCATGTTACTTAACAACCTGTACACAAAACAAAAAGAAACAATTCATTTGGGGGTGGAATTCAATGGAAATGTGGCCTCCTGAGCAACAAAGGGCTATTCTTCTGCCACAACACATATTAAAGCTAGCATCAGATCACAGAAAAAAGTCAGCTAATTCCACTTCTCTTCCCACTCACTCATGCACATGGTTGAATACCCACTGTAACATAAAACAACCTGTAAATTACGATAAAGGAAGTCTCTCCACCCACCTGTGAGCCCGGCCGGTCACCCTCCGTCGGTGAATCAGACTCTCCGCTCGGCAAATCAACGATCGTCGTCTAGAACAGAATAGATGTCGAGTTGAGGAAGAACGCAGCGAACACGAGAGGATCAGGATGGGGCAGAGAGTCAGTGAGAGACATGCTAATAAGGACTTCAATGGCACACGTGAAATGGAGATGTATTTTGGGGATGTAAGACAAAACATCAGCGTTGATATTGAGAAACAGAGAATGAAAACACACAGTGATGAGAGGAGATTTACTCAATGTGAACAGATCTAATTATAGCAACTTAAGGAGAATGTAAAAGCAGAAATATTTGTATTTTAGATGATAAAGTAAGTATGGGATGTCTTCTGTTACTCTACTTAAAGAAAAGTGAGACCCACACACCTGTTCTGCTGCTCCTGCTGAAGAAGCTGAACGGCAATCTTCCTCAGATCCAGCACTTCCTTCAGCTCGTCATCCTCCTCCTCAACTAGCTGCTCCTTATCGGAACTGGGAAAAAGTTCAGGATGAAAGTTATTAACGCCAGGAAAACTCTGGATATTGACTCACAGGTTTAAACATTTGGAAAACTCATTATCTTGCCCAAATTCATAAAAAGGTCATCAAGACACAGCTGTCAAAACACAAAAGCCTTCTTTGATATACAAACTAAATGGTGTGTACATTTTTTAGACCACTTAATGATGAAGTTGTTGATGTCATGTAGTGTTAGTCACTTCAGCCAATGATTGTCAAAAATGTGCTGAAGTTTTAGACAGCCGATCAACGTGGACCAGAATACCAATATAGCTTTAAATATATATTTTATTTGATCGTGGCACCCAACTCCTTTTTTATAAATGATCTTAATTTGAACAGTTCTAAGATCAATACGTATAGGTGATAGCTGACCCTTTATACTTAGTTCACAAAGGGAATCTGCTGGGTTCACTTTTGTTTAATGTTTCAGGTGTAATGTTTAGTCGATTGCATTCTTCTTAAAGGGGACCTATCATGCAAAATGCACTTTTGTACGTCTTTTATACATGAATATGTGTCCCCGGTGTTCCAGGGAACTCACCAAGTGTCAGAAAACACAACCCTCTCTATTTTCCTCCATACCCAAATCTCTAAAAAAAGGGGCTGCAACGGATCTGATAAAAACTGATCCAGATTTGAACACTGTCCTGACGTCAGGACGGTGGCGCTACGGCTATTGGGCCAACTCCACCAATCAGGAGGAGACAGCCACGGCCATTGCCGTTCGAAAGCGCTGGAGACGCTGTAGTACATATGCCAGGCCTGTAGATGGTGCTGTTCTCACTGAATCAGCCCTTGCAAAAACAGAGCTAGAAATGGTCAAATTGAGCGAAATGAGGCATGGCTAAAATGCATGATCTGTTTGGCATTTTGAAAAAAAAAAAGTATAAATATGCCTTATATAGGTATGGTCCTACACTATATTATTCAAATATAGCATGATAGGTCCACTTTAAATATATTACACAGAAAAAGACAGTTATACAACCTTCAACATTTTCCTCCAAGTTTGAAGTTTCTTGAACATTCCTGCCCACTGCAATAACACTGTACAATAAATCACCTCTGGCTGGAAGAGAACTCTCTGCTCCATAGTTTCTCTAGAAATAAAACCACGTTGTACATTTTACTCATACATAATCTGTTTCATATTTAATACTCCATAATTCCATATATTTTGAATATATATATATTTGTATATATATATATATATAATATCTGTATGTATATTTTCTATTTTGTATTTTGACATGTATATTTTATATTTTATATTTTATTTTATTTTATTTCTATTCTTGTATATTTTTGTTTTATTGTAAAATGCCTTTTATGCTGCTGTAACAAAAACAATTTCCCAATTTGGGATCAATAAAGTACGATCTATCTATCTCTATCTATCTATGTAGCTAAATCACTTTGTCTATATATTTGTTGTGATTGTTGTGGAATTTGTCATAAAAATATGAACTAAAACCATTGTTTCTTGAGCAGTGGCTAACACATTCCTCTATTGGCCCTATAACGGTCTTGAACTAAGGTAACCGAGGATCAGGATTTATACATTGGCAACCTTTGGATAAACTAAATAAATGTTTCTGAGGAACATCAAATGTCATTCTGAATTGTCCATGGGCAACGGCTAATGGCAACCAGCCAAATGTTGACTCATTGCTGTGAACTCTCTGATCAGGAAACTCCTTCTACAGCAATTACGGCAAGCCTTTTCCTAAAGAGAAAATGCATATAATAATAAGACGATGCATGTTTGTGCAAGCGTACTGAACAATGAACTCACCCTGATTCCTCTTTCCAGTTCTCTTTATCTTTGCTTTGGTGAGACATGTTAAGAACCTTTTCCAGTTCCTGAAACAAACACACACGCACAGACACAAATCACAAATGCATCGACAGATCTGGATCTGATCTCTTCCTGTCCTTTCTTCACTTTTCTTTATGCTTGAATCTTCCTTCTGGTGTTTTGATGTATCGATTCATACCTTTATACAAGACACATGACCGCTCTGCTGCCCGTCACACTCTGACAGAGCAGGATCCTCGTCCGGGTTGGGGTCTATAAAGTCATAGAGATCCTGATCTGATAGAGGGAGGAAGCATCCGCGGTCATCAAATAAACGTTCAAATTTTAGGCACTTCATTCAACCACCCCGCGCACTCCCGTTTTATTGCTTTCAAAGGGAATATGTGATACTTATTTTGGGTAACCTTTGCAAGAGTCCATTTTGGAGAGGAGTGAGAGGGCATCAGCACGGGCTGTCTCTGAAACCTGAGAGTGGAGGCTGACTGTGTCGTCGTCTGAAGGCTGCAGGGGGGGGAAGAAGAACCACAAGTCAACTCTTGTTCCTATTTCAGGGATTTAACTGAATGCATCGTTGACTGGATGAAGTATCTAATGTTGTACTGCTCCCACAGATATAAAATAGTTTTGCAACAGCAGCAGCAGGGAGATTACTGTGTCTGGGACAAAGGTAGATTCCCACACACATTTCCAGATGTTGATTTTTCCACAACAGCCTCTCCTGTCATGACTTAATCCCCTGTCTGTCCACAAGTTACTCTCGAATAAACTTTTAAACTAAACTGTTCCACCATTAGCAAGTCCTTCCAGGGCCAAATTAGCTTCCAACTCTCAAAAGATAGTCTGTTGCCGATTGCAATTCTTATCGGTCTCTTAAGTCTGCCTTTTTTTCTCATAAGCCAGTTTTTTTAATCACTGCTTGGCTACTTTGGCCTCTTTTGATTAGATCCACTCAATTGTGGATTGCAAGGCATCAAAATACTGTGTTATTTCCTGCCTGAGGCCAAAAGGTTTGAATTTGTAGATTAACATGAATATGAAATGAAAATCGCAGGCTAGCAGCAACGTATTGGAAATGTCCAAAGGCCATACTTTGACGTTTTTGTATCTTTACATTTTTCATTGTGTTAAGTAGTAAAATACAATAACATGATCATCATGAATTGGCCATGCCATTAGCATCTTTAGGGTTTGAACTCTGACCTCAGTCGTAGACAGCCTCTTGTCGCCATTGTCACTACCGATTCCAGAGTCAGGCCCGTGGTTCTTACTGGGATAAAAATCTTCCATGCTGGAAAACAAAACAAACTGCTCATTAGGCCTGTATTTTTGTAAACGTAACCATAACATGTCATTTGCAAGCACACAATTAACAAAAGTAAGTCATTCTGTTAGAGTATCAACTATAAGGCAACTCATTTATTAGTCAATCAGCAGAAAAAACAATCGAGTCATAGTTTAATTAAAGAATTTTGGTAATTATTTGGTGTACGGTAATCTTTCATGCAAAAATGGCAGAAAATGACTTTTTTTAGCATCTCAAATATAGATATGTCCTGCCTGTATATGTTCAATATCATGTTAAACTTAAAGGGGACCTATCATGCAAAATGCACTTTTGTACGTCTTTTATACATGAATATGTGTCCCCGGTGTTCCAGGGAACTCACCAAGTGTCAGAAAACACAACCCTCTCTATTTTCCTCCATACCCAAATCTCTAAAAAAGGGGCTGCAACGGATCTGATAAAAACTGATCCAGATTTGAACACTGTCCTGACGTCAGGACAGTGGCGCTACGGCTATTGGGCCAACTCCACCAATCAGGAGGAGACAGCCACGGCCATTGCCGTTCGAAAGCGCTGGAGACGCTGTAGTACATATGCCAGGCCTCTAGATGGTGCTGTTGCTCACAGAATCAACCCTTGCAAAAACAGAGCTAACATTTTTCAAATTGAGCGAAATGAGGCATGGCTAAAACGCATGATCTGTTTGGTATTTTGAAAAAAAAAAAGTATAAATATGCCTTATATAGGTATGGTCCTACACTATATTATTCAAATATAGCATGATAGGTCCACTTTAATATTTTGGACTCAAAAACAAGATATTTGATAAACTAGGATAGTATTTTTCACTATTTAAGCACATTGTATAGACCATATGCAATTCAAAACTATAATTTGCATTCATTGATACAACATTTTTTTAATGCAGCTCTTTATGTCATAGTCAAACATTTACCGTAAATGAGTTAGTACCTATCTGTGAGTGGCTGAGGGATGCATCGCTTGCCGAGGGAGGGGAGGTCCAGGGTGTCCGGCTTCTTGTCCGTCCTGCACGCCTGGATGTTCAGGTACTTCAATATGTGCACTTTGCCCTTCAGGCAAATCTGAAACATACAAACGCACACGATGTGTTTCTGTAGTCTGAGTTGTAAAAATCCTCAGTCCTCCACTAGATGGTGCAACTGTACCTGGTTTGTAGAGTGAAAACCATAGAAATAATGTGTGCCCCATGTTGACAACATATTTTGACGTCAACAGAATTGTACAAATGCACGTACCTGTGCGGGTGGAGACTGCATAGGATTGTTATCTAGGATGATGTGCTGCAGCTGCCTGAGTTTCCTGTAAGCCGGAGGAATCTCTGTGATCTTATTGCAGGAAAAGTCAAGGCGGATGAGAGGTAGGTCAGACAACTCTGTAAGCAGACCAGAGAAAAGCTTTTGTTAAATGTCATGTACAGTTAACAAAATGCAATTATATGCTTTGTATATATACATAGTAGGAGTGCAGCATAACCCTGAGTCATGTCCACAGTGATCGGGCTGAGCTACTGAATATAGTACCATGGCATCTCAAAGGAGTACTCCAGCGATTTAGTTTTTATTGTTCTATATATATGGGAAACTCAATTAAAGTGGAAGCACATTACTTTTCTCTAGTATGAGTCAAGCTCCAAAAATGAGATATCCCACAATTCCCAAAATTCCACTTGTTAGGTCGTTCACAGTACATTGTCTTTTTGAAATGCAGATTTTCCATTTAAAAGATTCTAGTCTCACAGCTCCTCTCTCCACCTTAAGGGTGTGATAAATATTTTTAAGGAAATTCACTCAAATGCAATTGCATGCAGAGAAATGAAAGGTTTCTGCAACTGCCTTTCATCACAAAGTTCAAACTCTCATGTGACCTGAACACACTTTACCAAACAAAGTGCCCTGAATCATGGCAAACACTTACACTTAAGGCTTTACTTTTGTAAAATATAAACAAAATCAAAGGCTGCATGGTGTGTTGCTTTATGTTAAAACATTGTTTAAGCATGACACAACTCAACTCACATTGCTTGATACATATTATTAGCTGAACCTGTGGTTAGTTTATGAATGAATGGATGAATCCGGTGTGACGGACTGACCCTCAGGCAGCATGTGAAGACAATTCCTCCTGATGTTCAGTTCTCTCAAAGCGTAAAGCCTCCCAACCTGAGCCGGCAGCACCTGGATCTCATTACAGCTCACGTCCTGCAGGGGGAGACAAAGTGTCAGGAATGAGATTGTTCTGGCAGTACCATTAACACACACACACACACACACACACACACACACACACACACACACACACACACACACACACACACACACACACACACACACACACACACACACACACACACACACACACACACACACACACACACACACACACACACACACACACACACACACAGCTCACCAGTTCCATCAACTCTTTGGCCTTGCCGATCTCCTCGGGGATGGACACCAGCTTGTTGTTGCTCACAAGCAGAACTTTGAGGGGGAGGCTGAACAAATATTTCGGCAAAACTGACAGGAGATTTCGGCTGTAGGGAGAGATAAAACATTGACCTATTTTAAAAGAAGTATACATGTAGCAGTGAGTATGTAGACACAGGGAATAGAGTGTCAGCAAAAGAGGAAATGCCTGTCGTTCATGAAACATGCCCGGCTTTTAGTGTCCTAAAAAGGGAACAAGCACTTCTTCAAGAGATATAAAACCGAACACACAGGCATTCATTTATGTAATAAGACACAGGAGACAAAACACAGTGATAGCAATGACTCACCTGATGTCCAGGTAAGTCAGCATCTGCAGGTTGATAATGGCTTCTGGGACGCACTTGATGCAGTTGTGGTAGAGGTTGAGCGACTCCAGGGGGGCGAACAGACACAAATCAGGGGGGATTTCTGTCAGTCGATTCTTGGACAAATCTGCAAAGCAAAGGGACAGGAGCTGGTCAAATATGTCGGACATTATATTATCTTTAAGATCTCCATTATGTTTGCATCAAGCATGAGGCTATATGTTTCAAAGAGAAATCAATACATCTGTGTGACGGAGCCTCCTCATCGAACACTGGTCTAAGATTTCACCAGAGTCTCAGGCCTCGAATGGTTTGAGTGCTACTGGCAGTATTTCCAATATGGATCTCACTGGGAGTGGCACAGTAATGGATTTCATTTGTATGAATGTTTGCAAAGAGTTAGAACTCACTCCACATCTTCTCTTTATGTCAAACATCAGTTCCAATCGGGAGAGATAAGGACATAAAGACTCAAGATGTATTCAAGAAAAAGAAAAGGGAGATTTTAGATCACTTTTGTACAGAGGCGTGGTGCAATCTATTAAGATGTATTTCAATGTATTTCTCATTTGAGCATTTATTAATAAAGTTATTTTGTATGACACCTTAGTATTTCTGGAGTTATGTGACTGAAATGTGTGTTTTAGCACATAAATGTGAAATATATTTAATGAAATGTGATTTAGTGATATGTGAAGTGACAGAATGCATCGGATTTATCTTAAATTGCAGCATCAGTTTGCAGCTAAGGCTGTATTTAGACACTGTTGTATTTTAAGCTAAACGCTAGCACAGCAACATAATCAAAATGACAACATGCTAATGTTAAGTAGGGATAATGTATGACATCTTCACTTTCTTAATTTGCGTCTAACTACTCATTGGCTGATTGACACTAAACACAGAGTACAGGCTTATAGTAATGTATTTGGTTTTGCAGGTAATTCAATTGTTTAACAAAGACAGGGAAATATTGATATTAGTTCCATAACAAAGGTACAATTAGTATTGAAATGTGTCACATGGTTAGTATAGACCACACTCATGTGCTCTGCAACTAAAGACAATTAGCTGCAAAATCACAGCCCTTCATTAACTAGCCAAGGCCCAGGGTGCTACTATTCTGTAACAAAAAAACCAGTCTGAATATAATCGTTGCTCCAGTCAATCGATGTTAGCGTAGCGTCTCATTAGCATCTTCCTCTTATGATAAAATATTTAGATACTAGCTCTCTTGCCTAAGAACATGGAGGTAGAGAAGAATACCCATTCAGCACTTTCCCATACAGATATATAATGTACTATATTATAGTCATCATCATTAAGCAGACTTGTGGAGGCCTACATTTTATACAAGCCTTTTGTATAACGCGTAAAAGCCTCGATCAAGTCACATCAAGGTTGCTTGAATCACTCAAACAGACTAAGACGTTTCCCTGCACACACACACACATGCACACAAATCCACACTATCTTTCTATTTCTCTCCGTCGTCAATTAAATAACACAAACGGCATCCATTTAAAAAGGAAAAGTGAGGCTACATGGGGAAGGTGAGAACAATACATGTAAAGACTACATAATTGATAAGACTTCACCTTCAGACACATATTGATTCAGCCGCTGCAAATTAGAGTGTGTGCGTGCCTGTGTGCCTGTGTGTGTGTGTGTGTGTGTGTGTGTGTGTGTGTGTGTATGTGTGTGTGAACGATCTTGTCTCCTGAATTATCTCTGGGTGACATGATAATTAGGGGCCTCTGTGAGGAGCTGCACAGCCAGCCACAGATAAAAAGGGCTTTCAATTATTCTGTCCCACCTCACTGATGTGCCACAGCCATACTGCTGAAAGCTAAAACGACTCCATCCCCTTAATGCATGCAATCACATATAGCTACCAGCCTTTATTAAACAATTAAGCGATATGGGCACTACTTTGCACTCACTGTCTGACTGTTAAAGAGGACATATTAAAGGTGGGGTAGGTAATTTTGGAGAAACCAGCTCGAGTGCACTAGGATTTGAAAATACACAGCCGGAACAAATCTGCCACTTCCTTACAGAGCCCCTCCTCCAACACACACGAACGCGCACATGACCAATGAGGGCACGAGATAAGTTTGTGCACAGATGGAAGGCTGACAGGCAGGTAGGCCATCCAGTTATTTTAGCCGGGCCGGCTAAAATGATTGGTCGTGCTTTTTACAGTACTACGGCTTCCACAGATGACATTTTTTTATGGATTTTTTGTCAAAGCACTTAAGATATTCATTGCTATCGGGATGTTAAGAGCATTCCATGGAATATAACAAAAAGTGTATCTCGAGCCGGTTTCTCAAACTTACCTACTCCACCTTTAAGCTTTTGGGGGGTTTTTCTCTTTATTTCTAGTGTGTTTTATAGGAGTTTTTTTGCATGTAAATGGTCTGCAGAGGCTAAAATGAATGTAACTATTCAACACTCATGCTTCTATTGGCTAGCGCTCCAACACATTGTAAGTGATAGGCTAAGGGGCGGGACATCTCTAAGAGGTTGACCAATCACAACAGTGCCTGCCAGAACCCAGAGCAGACTGGGCTCTGGGTTCAGACAGAGGGTGTAAAGAGGTGCTGCAGCACAGACAGTATGAGAAAGAGCTTTTTTTTTACATTGAAGTATTTTAAAATGTAACAGTAGAAGAACAAAATATCATTGTGAACCTAAAAACATGCTTAATGTCCTTTTTTAGAGGTTTCTGTTTTCCGAGGATGGATTACTGATGTCATGTCAGTAGCTTTTATTCAAGGATATTTTTAATAAATGTATGCAGACATCAAAGCCTTGAATCCTTGTCATAAGGCGAGCAAAACTATTGTGTCGGTGCTTTTTTGATAGACTTTCTTTAACAAGTATTAAATGTTCAGAAATAGACCCGACAGAAGCTGTGGTCTGAGCTCTGACAGCAGCCAATAAGCAGAAGTGAGACGCAGACCATGAGACAGTCAGCAGTACGATGGGGAAAATAAGCCGAGAGGTTGAGGGAGACAGACATTACCACACAGGGAAAGACCAAAGCTGGGGTCACAGGGTCTACTTGTTTTCCATTAAGAGTCAATTCTGCCTCTCCCTGAGGCTCGGACCTTGATGCTGTAACGCAGCTGTACACAGACCTCCCTCCCTCCAGCCAAACAACTGGGGATTCTTCTGTAGCGGAGGAATCATATGGGTGGATGGGCGATGGGGGTGGGTGGAGGCAGTCTTTGTGAGCCTGTCCGTCTCCATCCCCTTTTCCCTCCTCCATCCCAGGCCGAGCACCATCTGCAGCTCACAGCCGGGCTTTTATCCTCCTGCTGGTCGCCCACTGCTCCACCCAGGCTCCACCACGCTGCACCCTCACGCCAAATCACTAATCTATTCATTTATGTTAGTAGTGCAGATGATGTCTAGCTATGTTTTTCCATGACACAGCCAACTCTATACTAGCAGACATCCTGCTGAGGGCTGGAGGAAATAACAGACTACAGTCTCTCTCACTATACTACTGCTCCTGAACGGAGAATAGCAGGTTGCAATTTTTAATCTTCAACCTGAGATCATCTGAAGATTCAAGGCTTTTATTGTCATGTGTTCATAGCTACAGTGTAGTTATGTCGATGAAAATCACGCTCCTCCAACAGTGCAATACAATAAAACAGACAAAATAGTGCAAGTAAATAAAATAAAATAAAATAGAATATAATAGAAATAGTGCAGAATAGTCTATATACAAGTAATTGGAATATTGATATATATATATAAGTTGCAAACAGATGAATGTTATGGATGTTCTTTCAAAAGTTCAGGTGTTTAGCAGTCTAATGGCCTCTATCTTAATAAAACGGTGCAAGAATATCACTTTTGGTCGACCAGAAATCCATACATCAAGTGCAGAAAACTGCAAAGAAATGTACACGTAAAAATACTACCATCCAATCATTTATTTTAACACCTCAGTGACTTCTATACAGCGCTCAATTTAATGAACATGTCAAAAACATGATTAATTGGGGTTAATTATTTGCACTCGGGGGAAACGCGTGTCTGGCTGGCCGGTTGGGGAGTGGTCTGGAGCCTCGCTGAGGTTCAGGAACCTTCTGCTGGTCAGTGATTTTATGTGCTTCTGCTCATCAATCTGCTCCTGGAGATACTGGGGCTGTACCACTGTCTTTTTTTTTTTTTTACAACCGAAGCTTTTACTGAGGATTTTTATTAAGCTTTGTAAGCCTGTTACCACATTATCACCCTAAAATAATTAAAATCTAGGAACTAAATCCACAATTTGAATACAATTATTCATCAGACTAAATGTGTTACTCTGGTTAAAAAAACATTAAGCTGCAAAAATGTTGTTTTTGAAAGTTAAAATGCAAAGAATATAGTTAGTAATTTTACACATTAAACATGTTCTGACTTTTCAAAATGATTGCATTGCATTGTATTTTTTCTTTAAATACATTTAGATTTGTACGTCATCTTTTGATCACACAATTCCAAAAACATACGATCCACAACAGGAATATAATTCAACAAATAATTGTACACTCATAATATTAGTGTAGTAGCCTATTCTTTATCTGTAACTGTGTCGACATATTGGGTTTGGATAGAAAGAATATTCATGCTAAAAAAGGAAAAGGATGGCTAGTTTTCACATGCAATAAAGTTTGAACCTTATCAAGCTGCACAGGTACAGGTACAGCCCTAGGAGATACACCAATGGGGTTTCTCATAATGTTGATAATGAGCCATGACAACAGTGATAAGATGAGCTAACAACTGAAGCTGGTGTCCAGGATGGCTCAGGACTTTTGCTGAATCACTGACAGGTGGATGGTGATGGCGGATGGTGATGGAGTGGTTAAACTGTTGTGTGCGTGTGATGTTTGGCGGGGGGCAAGCAGCTGTATTTGCACGGTTTATTTGTGGGGGTTGTCTGTTGGTGCTTTCATTTGGGACATTTCACTTTTACTACACACACGCACGCACGCACCAACTTGGTCATTGCATTACAGTCACACAGTCTACACTTCCCTTACCAGTTCTTCTACGCTTTAACCATTGATGTTCAGCAACCCCATACCGACAACATACTGTATATACACAATAAACATA